CCAGATGTGGATGCCTGCGGTGGCAAGTCTGCGCTCTGTGCCGCGCTCGCGACTTCCAACACTTGTGTGATGACAATTCATGAGGGAAACCAGCTGATATGTGGGAATTTGCTGCTGTACGCGTCTGTTGACATGATAATGGAAAGATTCACCCGTGGGTCCAGTGATTGTCAGTTGTATGACCATTCCGCATTGATGTTAAAAGCGTTGGTGAAAATAGATGTCCCACTGGGCACCTGGCATGGCTAGGAACAGCCGCTTTCAAACAGTGTGGCAGCGCGACATTGGCGTTCCCATCCTCGGTCGAACCATAGAGAAATATGTAAGTTAGAATCATCATCTCATTTCCAGGGATGGAAAACATACGTGCATACATACCTGTACATGTATGTATAAATAAATGCGTATTTTTTTTAAAAAAAAAACTAAGCCTTTGGAACTATGGATAGCACTCCTATGGTACAGAGAGCAAACTCATGTTCACATTCCTGTCATGTCCCGGGGTGTGGAGCGGGGGATAACGTTGATCAATAGCAAAACAGTACGAGACTTGCAATTGATATGAGAAGGGATAATGACAACAGCGGATGACATGACGAGCGGCTGATGACGCCCACATTTTAAAACACATGCAAACTATGAAAACAGAACCCGGTGGAAGTATTGATAGTTCCACGAGGTCACACCACGATATATATATATATATACATCCTTGGGGGCGGGGGTTCCCCGAGGGGGGGAAGGGGTGGGGTGGGGTGGGGTGTAATAACGTTCATGTAACTTGCGTGAAGGGGTGGGGTGGGGTGGAGTGGGGTGGGGAGTAAAAACGTGCATGTAACTTGCGTAGAATTGGAGGCGACGTGCATGCTACGTGGCTGTTACGGTCATTCTAAAGTCATGTTATGTAGTTCTCAGGCATATGCCATGTTACGCTAGTGTAAGTTCGCTTGTAATTGTGACGTCTACGTCATGCTACGCTAGTGTAAGTTATCTTGTACTTGTCACGCATACGTCATGCTACGCTAGTGTAAGTTCTCTTGTACTTGTCATGCATGAGTCATGCGGGGGTAAGGGGTGGGCTGGGGTGGGGTGGGGTGGGGTGGGGTGTAATAACGTTCATGTAACTTGCGTGAAGAGGTGGGGTGTAAAAACGTTCATGTAACTTGCGTGAAGGGGTGGGGTGTAAAAACGTTCATGTGACTTGCGTGAAGGGGTGGGGTGTAAAAGCGTTCATGTAACTTGCGTAGATTTGAAGGCGACTTTCATGCTACGTGGATGTTCTCTTGTAGTCATTCTACGCTAGGTTAAGTTCTCTTGTAGTTGTGACGTCTACGTCATGCTACGCTAGTGTCATTTCTCTTGTACTTGTCACGCATACGTCATGCTACGCTAGTGTCATTTCTCTTGTACTTGTCATGCATGAGTCATGCTACGCTAGTGTAAGTTCTCTTGTACTTGTCACGCATACGTCATGCTACGCTAGTGTCATTTCTCTTGTACTTGTCACGCATGAGTCATGCTACGCTAGTGTAAGCTCTCTTGTACTTGTCACGCTTACGTCATGCTACGCTAGTGTCATTTCTCTTGTATTTGTCACGCATACGTCATGCTACGCTAGTGTCATTTCTCTTGTACTTGTCATGCAGGAGTCATGCTACGCTAGTGTAAGTTCTCTTCTACTTGTCACGCATACGTCATGCTACGCTAGTGTCATTTCTCTTGTACTTGTCATGCATGAGTCATGCTACGCTAGTGTAAGTTCTCTTGTAGTTGTGACGTCTACGTACCACCATCGTTCTATTTTATTTTAATGTTCTACGATGGTATCTTCTTGCATAGAATAACATTTGAATTGGTCGGGTTTGTGCCTTCTATAGTGGTTCATATGTCTTGTACTAATGCTTTTGTATAAAAACAGAAAAAACAGCTGACTCACAGCACTCGGAAATTTCGATGATATGCAAAATCACTGTGAATTACCAATGAAAAACAACATCACATCAAAATACCTGTGGAAACACAGTATATTATACCCTTTTCCAATGATCTTTGATATAGCACAAAATGTGCACCTTGTAATTCCAATGGAGAAAATAAGAACACCAAAAAATTGTGATGGTCCATAATTGACTTCAACTTCGACGGACAAAAAAAAATTGATCCGTAATTGAAAGACATCAACAATGAAAAGAACGACATGAAAAATCTCCATTTTACCACAGTGAAACACTGTTTTTTCTCCAATTCAATGATCCTGATTGACGTCCTCTCGGGGAACCTCCTCCCCCTGCCGTATATATATATATATATTATATATTATATATATATTGTAATTTTTTCACGCATATATATATATATAAGTTAGCCTGTTGCTCCCCCGTCTTTCTCATCTAACCGCCCACATTATTATACAAGCAAATTCTATGGGGTTAATACCAAAGACAGGGGAGCAACACCTTATAGAAAACAATAACATAAATCAGAACAACAAACAACAAAAAGAAAAAACAAAACAACATAAGCAATACAATAGATTATAAAATAGACTATACCAAAAAACATAACAACAAACCAAAACAAAAGACAATTTCACTTTTATAAAATGAAATTTAACTATCATTCTTCTTCAAATTCTCCTCATGCTTCAAAGTGTTTGTGTGCCTCTTGTAATTTTGAGTTTGAATTTCATAATCATCACTTCAAATTTATGGGGATAACCAACATAATTTTCATAATCATTTATCATGAAGATTATGGGATTATTTACCACAGTCTCCCCCTAAGGGGAAGCCTCAGCCCCCAGCCAATATACTATCCCAACCCCCAGCATACATACCAGCACACATACAAACTAACATATCACAACAGCATCACATCTTTCTCAATCTCAAATCTCTTTCATTACCGCAATTAACCGCCCTTCATGAACTTGTTGATAACCATGTCTTCTTAACCTCAGCGCGATGTAAATGGCACAGCGATCCAAACTTTTGGGGCGAAATGGAGTGAAAAAGATTTGTGTGGTGTGCCTTGTTGGTGCCAGAATGTCAAGCTTTTGAAGGCTCACTGGCATCAATGCTCTATTGAAGCAATGTCCTATTCCTACTTAAGCCCTGAAACCTTGCTACCTACAGACCTTGTCAATCATAAAAGCATCAGCCAAGAGCCCTGTTTTGCAAAAGTCGCCCTGCTGGCGAAGCAAGCACGCGCTTTGTAAGTCGCCCTGTTGGCGAAGCAAGCACTGCTTTGTAAGTCGCCCTGTTGTTGGCGAAGCAAAGAACTGTTTTAATGTTGGCTCCTGATTAGTAGCTAGGGTCGCTATTGTGGCAATTTTTTCCAAATTATTCTGAAACTCATGTATTGTTTGGAGGGTTCGCTTTTGTGGCAAAACAAAATTGGGAGAGCCATTTTTTTTGAAAAAAAACTGTAATTGCTGAGAGGCAATTTTTTCTCAAAAACGCTGTAGCTCAGTCAAGTTTTTGTTCATCTCCCTATCTGAGCCTGTAAATGCATCTCTATCTGAATAGGTTTGTTTGCTGGGCTCACTATTGCAGCAAGCTGTGCCAGAGCAGCCCCTGGAAGCCCAGAAGAGAAGCAAGCCTTTTCCAAAGGCAATTGCGAAATTCAAACTCCAAGCCTTTCCCAAAGGAGCCAATCCTTTATTAAACCCTTATTAAAGAACAGCTTTTCCACAATTTTCCAAGGCCCTGGACCAGGAGAGGCTCCATTTCACTTTAGTAGGTTTGTTTGCTGGGTTCACTATTGCAGCAAGCTGTGCCAGAGCAGCCCCTGGAAGCCCAGAAGAGAAGCAAGCCTTTTCCAAAGGCAATTGCCAAATTCAAACTCCAAGCCTTTCCCAAAGGAGCCAATCCCTTATTAAACCCTTATTAAAGAACAGCTTTTCCACAATTTTCCAAGGCCCTGGACCAGGAGAGGCTCCATTTCACTTTAGTAGGTTTGTTTGCTGGGTTCACTATTGCAGCAAGCTGTGCCAGAGCAGCCCCTGGAAGCCCAGAAGGGAAGCAAGCCTTTTCCAAAGGCAATTGCCAAATTCAAACTCCAAGCCTTTCCCAAAGGAGCCAATCCCTTATTAAACCCTTATTAAAGAACAGCTTTTCCACAATTTCCAAGGCCCTGGACCAGGAGAGGCTCCATTTCACTTTAGTAGGTTTGTTTGCTGGGTTCACTATTGCAGCAAGCTGTGCCAGAGCTACAAGTACTACAAGTACTACAAATACTACAAGTACTACAAGTACTACAAGTACTACAAGTACTACAAGTACTACAAGTACTACAAGTACTACAAGTACTACAAGTACTACAAGTACTACAAGTACTACAACTACAAGTACTACAAGTACTACAAGTACTACAAGTACTACAAGTACTACAAGTACTACAAGTACTACAAGTACTACAAGTACTACAAGTACTACAAGTACTACAAGTACTACAAGTACTACAAGTACTACAAGTACTACAAGTACTACAAGTACTACAAGTACTACAAGTACTACAATACTACAAGTACTACAAGTACTACAAGTACTACAAGTACTACAAGTACTACAAGTACTACAAGTACTACAAGTACTACAAGTACTACAAGTACTACAAGTACTACAAGTACTACAAGTACTACAAGTACTACAAGTACTACAAGTACTACAAGTACTACAAGTACTACAAGTACTACAAGTACTACAAGTACTACAAGTACTACAAGTACTACAAGTACTACAAGTACTACAAGTACTACAAGTACTACAAGTACTACAAGTACTACAAGTACTACAAGTACTACAAGTACTACAAATACCACAACTTCATCGGCAAAAAAAACAATAGTAATTAGATTTCAATTGTAGCCAATTGAAATCCTTACTTAATTGAGGGTATGTTTTTCTTTTGGGAAGAACATTTTTCATTTTCTACTTTAAAGAGAGTCCAGATATAGTTAAGGGAGGGGGGTGGGGCCACACACTAATCAGGAACCAACATTAGACCCGAACACAATTAATCCACGACTCAGAGAAGAAGGTATTCAAAAGTTTGGTATCCAAAATAGTTGACACCGCATTCAAGACGCTCTCAGTCCTTGAAAACCAAACAAGGGTCAAATGCTAGAGAAAAAAGAAACCACAACCACAAGCATAGTAAAGCCCTCTAAACATGACAACAATAGCATGCATTCCAAGCACAACTCAGAAGAATAGATTGGCCGCACAGATAAGAAAGATAAGAAAATAATTAATAAATGAAAAACGAAAGAACTAATATATATATAATGAATGGTAAAATTGGGAAAAATAGGAAAAACAACCCAGATACTGTGCCAGATCGTGTGTTTCCTCATCTCCACTTGGCACATGCCCAATTTCTGTCCCCAGCTGTTGCTGGAAGTCGGCGTAGTTGCGCATGTCCAAAATATGGCAATGCCACACAAGGTCCAGCTCTTCACTGGGAGAATAATTCCTAAGTTTTTGCACCCAAGCAAAGTTTCTGGCACCAAAAACCGACCTGAAAAACCAAGCCAAATAATGTAAAAAGACAAAACTGCCAGAAATGTATAGAAATGTCGAGTTTCTTCATGGGGTGCGCCAAAGTCACAGCGTACCAAATCTTCAGAGCCCGCTCTGCAAGCACCACATACTGCTCCTCTGAGATTGGGAGCCCTCCCATGCGCGCAGGTCTTTGTCGCACTGCGCACTTGGCATACTTGCTGAAATTCCATACTTGCAGCTTCTCAATCTGGACGTTCAGCGTGTTTTGGTCTGGCTCTGAAGTCATAGTCACGATGTCTCTAAAGCAGGAGTCTGCCATGACGGCGCAGCTCAAGCTCGATGCAAGGATGAGGCAGGCGAACACACCGGATTTGAGCGCCATGGAAATGCCGACACTCCTGAGATTAGAAAAAACGTCCCTGAGTGGCTTGAGGAAAAACTCGCAAAAACGCTACGGAAGAACATAAAGATGCTGAAAAATGACACAAAATTCCAAGCGCAAACTGAAAGAGCTAATTTCTGTAGCTTTCCAATTGAGAATGTCAAAGGTGCTCAAATTGAAACAAATTCCAAGGTCAAGCTCTCCAAGAACATGTGGCTTCAAACCTCTGACTGGCATATTCCCAACAGCTGAGCGCCCCGACAACAGGATGAAGAAGAGATTGATGACGAAACCATGGCGGGGCAGAAGGACAAAGGAACATAGAGTAATCCCAGCCAATGACCCAAACGTGCCGAACACAAATTCATGGGGAAAACAAATGAAGGACAAAACACAAAACCCCGAAACCAAAAGAGCACATCAAATCAACCATCTCATGGTTGCATCAAGTAGGCATAAGTATGGGAAAAAATGCTTACAAGGCTTTCTAAAAACACTAAATCTTTAAAAGTTCATGCCTCATCAACAATCTTGGGTAATCAGTTAATTTGTAATATTTTTGGTTCAACTTTTCTGCAACCTCTTGCACAACATAATAACCTTTTAGCCAGTGGGAAGTTCTTTCTTTCTCTGTAATTGCTTTCTTTCTCATTATCTTTACTTTGTCTCCCACCTCTAATGTTGGGTATATTCTTTCTTTCTTTGCCTTTGATGCTACATTCAGCATTGCTCTGAATTCATTTTTATCTTTCCTTGCCTCTTTTGGTGTCATACCTGTAGCGGAATGCTTCATTTTATCATTGTATGTAAGCATTATTTCTAAATTGTAATCAACCCATTGTATGTTTGCCTTACCCTTTTTTCCATCAGCCTCTACTCTTTTAAAAAGCATATCTTTGTATGTGCGTATAAATCTTTCAGCAAATGCTGGGTGTCCTCTAGTCCTACGTAAGGTTATACCTTCACCTTCTACATAATCTTTAAAGTCTTCACCTGCTATTGCTCTCTCATCATCTGTATAAATCATTTTAGGCTTCTTACCCATTTTCCCTAATGCCTCTTTAGATGCTTCAAGGACATCCTCACCATTTTTAGTTTTAATTGGAACAACAACGGCATACTTGCTTAAAACATCAATACACACTAACCCTCCTCTAAACTTTTGCTCTTCATCAAAATCATAATATCCCACAAAGAACAAATCAATCTGATAAGTATGATTATTATGGGGTGCTGTGAAGGAATTGTACCCTCTAGGCTTTGCTTTTATTTCAACATTCTTTCTAAAGAATTGTTCAACATCTTTCATAGTAATAGTTTTATCTTGCTCTCTGGCATCTTTTAAAGTAGTAGCCTTGCTTCCATATCCGCTTCTATCAAAATAAATATCACTAATAATATTCTGCTTATTATCAGCCATTATAGAATAAATGATATAATAAAATAATTATATCAATTATTCCTGCTCTTGTTGCTTTAGCCAGTCTTGATGTTTTTTTGTTTGCTCGTGTCTTTTCTTGTGGCATTGTGTATAATATTTTCCACATCCACATAAATGTCTTTCTAATAACTTATCCTTAAACTTTTCATAGTTGTCTTGACTTCTTTGTTTAATGATGTCTGGGTTGTTTTTAGCAAATTCCCTCTTTTTTCTGTTCTGTTCATCTTTTGTTTCATTCCAATTTTGTCTTTTTTGGTTTATGTAATGTTCATAATTGTCTTTTCTCCACTCTTCATTTGTCCTTCCAGAAACAATTTTATTTACGCAATCATTGTTTCTTATATGCTCTCCTTCTTGTCTTAGTAGTTCATTTCTACTCTGACACGGAAAATCTTGTAAAAGTTCAATCTCAGTTTTCTATACCGTATCTATCAAAAATAATATTAACTCTTCTATTACAATCTGCCTTGCCCTTGGTGTATTGGTAATATTTTTCTTTATGTTTGTAAAATCTCTTGCTCAATGATTGGCACGTTGAACCAATATAGCACATATTATAGCCTATATCCACTACCTTATATATTTGTCCTTTTTCATACCTATTCATCTCCTATATACTATCTATAACCATTTTCTCTTTAAAACCATTTTACATTAATATCTTATTTGAAAAGGCGCAATTACACTGAACACACATTGGGATACAGTTGCTTTTATAATGTGCCAGTTCATTATTCACTCTTTGACAACTAATATTTGATGAAACCTTGCCATCTTCAAAATCTATAACCAATGGCTCATTACAATTCTCACACTGGGTATTCATCATATCCATTAAGAAATCTACTTCCACATAGTCATCATCATCTATAGGTCTGTTGCTTTTCTTATCTTGCTCAATGTAATTTGATACTTTATTTTTGAAATATGTTTCTACTCTTAATCTGCTCAAGTCATTCTCATCAGCATCATATTTATAAAACTTAACTCTATTTAAATCTCTTGCCCTGCTGACAGAAGTCCAATACCAGTTCTTGCTACAATACCATTTGCTCCAGTCATATATCACTATGTCATCATCTACACTACATCCCTGCTTTGAGTGAGTGGTGTAGCAGTAAGCATATATAAAGTGCTTTCTCAATACTTTCAGTTCTATATTTTGCTTCTCATTAGTTGCCACATTTTGTAAAACAACAATATTGCCAACAATGTTTGAAATCCTGAATTTAAAATTTACATTAAATTTTGTCCCTTTATTCTTAACATACTTCCGGCATGGTTTCTCCTTGCTATTTAAACGAAAGTCACTAGAAGCACTTATCTTCATATCTTTTTCAAAATCCCTTTGTGCTATGCTGTTGATGTTGTCATTCATTGTGTAAATGTGGTTGCCCTTAATCAATCCAAACAAAACGGTTATGTTTTTGTTCTTCTTATCAGGGTCATAGGTATAAATCTTTTGGCCGATACAGTTGTATAATCTGACTGTCAGTTTAAACTCTTCAAAAACAGGTTTCATATCTTCAACTGATGCCCCATTCTGTTTAAACTCTTCTTCATTTAAATTCATTAGTTTCAATACCTTATCTCTGGTCATTTTTTTGCTTTCCCATTTATTACTACTCATCAGTGTCTCTTCATAATGGTCTATCAGTGTGTTAATCCAGCATTCACCGTCAGTATGTTTCTTATTTTTGATGGCATTAATCAAATTATCACTACCAACATCCATTTCAGTATTAATGGTGTAGTGATACATTCCTATCTCATTGCCATCCTTCAGTTTCTTCTTTGTTTCATCCCCACTACCTCCTGTGTTTGATACATCACTAATGTCTAAAATCTTGATGGCACTTGTGTAGTCTTCAAGGTTTGTATTATTCTTCAGGTCTGGGTGTTTTAAAATCAATCTCTTGAATAGTTTGTCAAACAAGGCTGTGTCGTGTATCACTTCAAACTGTTTGTATCTACCTTTGGTGTCTCTTCTTTTGGGCAGTGTAGCATCTATTCCTGTCTCCCTTATCCAAGCCTCCCTTGTGTTCAGTTCATCAAATTGTTTTCTTGTAATTTTGTTTGGGTTGTCCTTCTTCAGTCTTAACCTATCTTTCAGTCTTTCCATCCATAAATCAAACTTATCTCTGACCACATACTTATCCACCAGTGTTTCATTCAGTTTATCCTCATCTCTTACATTCTTCAAGTTCATCTGTATAGGTTGCTCCATACGAAGTAAATTGTGCCAGTCTCCTTGGTTGTCTTTAAATCCTCTCTGTCCTCCTGCTTTATGCCCATTATCAAAACCGTAAAGTTGAAATCTTACAACATAGTCTTTCTTGTTTCTGTTAGTTGCCATTCTTTCATTCAATGGAGCTCTGCCTTCAATCTGTTCAAACTTTTTATCAAATCTTTTTTTAGCAAAAGTTGCGGTTCTCTTGTTGTCGCTCATCAGGCTGTTGATTATTTTTTTTGCTGTTTCATATTGAGAAATCTTCCTGTCTCTATAAAATTCTACTACCTTATCCACTCTGCCTTTAACATCTTCTTTAGCACCTCTGGTTAGTTTTTGTAGTATGCTTACATTATTGATTACACTTTTTGATGGCATTATAATATATTTATATTATATTATAATAACATCTCTTTAAGTAGTTTAAGACATTTTATGTTTTTACCTTATTTATTCTGATGTATCTTCAGTGTCTCCATTACTATAACTTGCTCTCAATCTGATACACTTGCTTGATTGCTGATGTCTCTTGAACTTGTCTTTTGTGATGCTACACCCGCATAAAGGACATTCAACTTTGACACTCAAAAACTTCTTGTAGTATTCCCTGTGGTAATACCTGTTGTATTTTTTCAAGTCCGCTTTTTTATCAATATCCACCTGTATTAATGGCTCAATGATTACATAGCCATTTTCATCAATTTCTCTGTTTTTGACACTCATTACTATGATTTATATAAGAATATCTCTTTAAGTAAATTAAGACAAATTATTGAGCTTTATACATATCCTTCAACTTCTGCCACAAATGTAGTTTATAAACCTCCCTCATTTGTTTCAGCATTTGCTTCTTCTTACCGTCATTACCTTTTGAAGCAAACCAAGTTTTATAAGCACTGTCAAACTGTTCATACTGTTCTTTTGTAATCATATCTTTGTTTTTAGCATTTACAAATTCTTCTCTTAATCTCTGAACACCTATTGTGGATGCTCCTATCGGTTTTTGTATTGTCTTTCTTCTATTTTCTTTAGGTTCATCAATTTCATCATCTGCTTCCGCTCCTCCTATTTCTAACTCTGTCTTTTTCTTGGTCGCGAATGCTTCGCGAGGTTTCTGCCGAAGCGTCCTTTTCTTTCTCATTTTAGGTTCTTCTTCTGGGCTACTTCCATCTCTTTTGTCAGCATTCTTTCTTTCAGTTCCTTCTTTGAAATGTTTAGGTCTTCCCGCTTTACCTCTTGGTTCTACAGTTGTTTCAGGATTAGCACCCCTTTTGTTTGTTGATGAAACATCCATAACTTCTATAACGGGCATTGCTTGAGAACTGCTTGAAGATGCTGATGCCTTTGCTTTAGGCTTGGTTTGTGGTTTTGCCTTGGCTTGAGGCATAACTTCATCATCAGTTGCTATGTTGAAACTTTCA